TCTATTTTCCCCAAACTCCATCTGTGTTCATATTTGGGTATATGGAATATTCGTGCCAAGTTTGACCCAGATCCATCATTGTTTGAGTCTACAGTGCCCTCTGGATGTAGGTGAACTACAACTCCCAAAGTCAAGGTCAATGCACACCAAACGCTGCTAGTATTTTCTGTTGGTCATGGGAGTCGTGTGTGCCAGGTTTGGTTCAATTCCATCATTGGTGGAGTTCAGAATGCTCTTTGATTACACTGTTCTACAAATTTTCAGTTTTTCTCAGTTTCGGAAATGAAATGTGCCGTTTCTTAATAAATTTAACATGCTGAATTCAAATATAATAATTAAATGTGTTAATTGGCTCTGGTTTTTATGCAACAGCTATTTCAATTTTCTCCACAATAGGTAATTCGTTAATATTATGATAATGCGCCTAACCTTACTGCATGTATATAAACCGCGAATATTTACTAAATTTTAGTCAAATTATATTGCCAATAGTTTATACATGAGAAATATTTATTTAATTAGTCTATTGTTTATGTTTGTGCAGCAAGAAACTCTATTAGTAGGCCTAATGCAGTTGAAAAGTCTGAAAGTTTAAATGTCACTTTAATCGTGACTTTAGTTTATATCCGGTTTGCTTCTCTTGACTTTTCTTTTGTATTCAAGGAAAGGATTGTCTCTTACAATGCTCCAGCAGGAGTCTGACAGCATTGACGGAGTCCCATTTGCCTTGATCTCTTTTTTCCATCGTGCTTTATTTACACACGTGCGAGGCATAACTACAGTAAAAAGAACAATGTAAAACGATGTTTAACGATACTGTCTCAGTCTTCAACTGACTGACCCTCACCGTTCAAATGTCTGGCCTTATATAGGGCTTTCTGGCTTTTGCACACGGCACTAATACTGCGTCATCAAACTTTCTAGAGTATTCTAGAATCTTCCATAGTGTAAGTCGCAACATGCATTTTTTCAACCATACGTGATCACGTGATTGCTTATATCATAAAAACTAGAGCCAATATACATTTTTAAATGTCATTTTCGTTTTCAGCACCCCAAAATCATAAAAGAACAACTATTTTCAGGCCCGAAACCTTTTCTCCGTTGAACAGTGTTATAGATGAACTATAAATCCCAGCAACTACAACTCCCAAATGACAATATCATAATTTTTGAGTGATGGTCACTCCTTGTGTAGTGAGATATTTTGTTGCCAAATTTGGTGTGATTTCGTTCATTGGTTCTTTTGTTTTTAAGGTACTCATTATACACAGAGCATTTATATATATATATATAGATGCTAATATATTCAGCAAAGAGTCTGCACTTGACATAGCCATTCAAACAACTGTTTTTAGTGGTGGTGGTGGTGAGGATACCAAATAGAATCTCGCAATGCTCTAGGTTGTGGGTGGTAGCAGTTATGATGGATGAGAGCGGTACATTTGTATTTCATCTCTGGAAGACAGCGACGCGTGGGAAAAAGTGTAGAAAGCGCCGAATCAGAGAAAGCTATTTTCTCTCCGTCAAAAAATGAATGTTTCCTTTAAAGCATTGTTTATTTAAATGTCAACATCAGACATATATTTTATGTCTTTGGCAAAGATTAAGGTTTTTTATTCATTTGGAGTTGATTAATTAGACCACAATGAAGACGTTGGAAAAAATGAAACCGTACCAGTGGCTTGTCTCTCTTTTGTTTGAAAAATAAACATGCTCTTTGAGACCACTGCATTCTTCTGCCCGAACACAAAAGATTGCAATTTTTTTTTTAAAAAAATTAAAGCAGCAAAATATCAAATGTGGTCCTGATTATCTTTCCTTGTCAAGATTTCTTTTCCTGTAACCAGTATTTTCACCAGAGCTTGGAAACACTAACTATAAATCATGCATTGCTTTCAATTGATTATTGTCTTGCAATAATAAAAGCGTAGAAAAATTCCATGACACTTGTACTACAATTTCCTTTTATGATGTAACTATTATAATGCATTTTCAGAGAAAGGAACTAGCTAGTTAAAATCCATAATGGTAAATGATTGGGTTGTTGTGAGTTTTCCAGGCGGTATGGCCATGTTCCAGAAGCATTCTCTCCTGACGTTTCACCCTCATCTATGACAGGCATCCTCAGAGGTTGTGAGCAGGCCCGTAGCGTTCAACTCCCCCCCCCCCCGAAATGTTTCAGAATTTTTTTAAAAAACCTGGTTTACTCATGAATTTTAACTGGTTAACCAAATCCCCATGCGAAGTCTATGAGATGCAAAAAATCAAGAGTCCCTCCAGAACTGCAAGCACTATCTCAGGCAAATATTAGCAATTTATTCACACTGTCATTACTTGCAGCAATAGCCGATGTAGTTGTTCTGGTACAGCTGTACCAGGATCTCCAACTTTATTTGCTTTGTATTAAATGTTTACTTGCAGTCCTAGGTTTCAGGGACTCTGCAGATACGTGGCTTCTTTGGTTGCAGTCATAGGGCAAGTCATCTGTCCATCATTGTTAAGTTTTGGTT